TTTTTTTTTTTTAATTCCTCCGCATAGTTTCTTTACAAATATCGGTATAAAAAATACAAGATAACGTAGATTGATATTAACAAAAGGTAAAAGAAAATGCGTAATACGCTTAGGTAGTTATCTAAGTGTACTAATTCAATTGATTTTGACAATTATGGCGACCTGTTCTCCCCTCAATAACATTTGTGGCACGTGCCTTTCCAAGGTCTCTGTCTTTCCTTCGATCTTCTTCAAGACTACCTTAGGAACAAACGAGGTAGTAGTCCTCCTCCTCTCCTTCATCTCCTTCTCCTCCTCTTTCTCTTCTTCTTCTTCTTCTTCTCTCATCATCATCATCATAGTCATCATCCTCGTAGTCTTTTCATTCTCCTTAGTATCTGACAAGTTAAGAGTAACCATGATTAATGCATCGAAAAAATATTTTCCTATCGTCATTTTTATCGATTTATTTTCAGAAGGATTCCTTAAGAAACGATCATGAAAAGAAATTCAATCTTTTTATTCTTATATCAATATTAAAAATATACGATATATATATATATATATATATATATATATATATATATATATACATACATACATACATATATACATATATATATACATTACATACATATAACATATATATATATATATATATATATATATATATATATATATATATATGATACACATTTTCCTTTCATTCTATCGATGTACATTTATATATATATATATATATATATATATATATATATATATACATGTGTATATATATCCCTTATCGATATCGAAAAAAAAAGTACGAAATACGGAAATTGCAAAAAAAAAAAAATTCTTTTCAATTAGTCTTGAACTTTTGACAAAAATTTATACAAAATGTTTCAATGATCGTACATAAGAGCAAAATGTCTTCTTCCTATACATCTTTGGATTTTCGTGGCTCGCTTGTTTATGCGTCGGCATGTATGTCCATAAAATAAGCACGAAGATGGAGGGAGGGGGAGGGAGATTGAGGGAGATCGAAGAGAGTAGTGGTCGAAAAGAGTGTGTGAGATAAAGATAGAGGTAGAGAAATAGAGAGAGAGGGAGAGAGAGAGAGAGAGAAAAACAAAGGGAGAGAGAGAGAGAGAGTGAGAGAGAGAGAGAGAAAGAAAAGAGGGGAAATATAAAGGGAGGACGAAGGGTGGAATCCTAAAGGAAAAGGATCAGGGGTAAAGTAGTAGAAGGGGGCGGGAAAAAAGAGGTGGAGGCGTCGAGACACGTGTACGAGGCAGACATCGATCCTGGGGACTCGTGGTCTTCAAGGTCGTCTTGCCTGCCAGCACACTCCCAGCTCTCTACGTATCAACGACCTCTCGACCCCTCAGGATACTCCGAAGTACGTCAGTAGGCCAACCGAGTTTCTCCGCCTTTTGCGATTTCCGTATTTCGTACTTTTTTTTTTTTTCGATATCGATAAGGGATATATATACATATATATACATATATATATATATACACGTATATATATAATATATATATAGTATATAAATATAAAGTATATATAAATATAGTATATAAATATAAATATATAGTATATAAATATATATATATATATATATATATATATTTATATAAAGAAAGAATTAGACGATTAGATCGATGTACGAACGAATATAAATTGAATGTTAACTTATATTATGAAGGATACATTATACTATTGAATACGATAACTTATAATACTTATGAATATAACATGTATCAAGGTATTCTAATCTTTTATCAATATACCGAACAATGATCTTGAAATTTTATATTGAAAAACTGTTACCATTTTATATAGAATATATCGATATACAAACATTATATATAATATAGCGATATATAGTATATAATAATGACAACATATAAATTAAACGAATAAATATAAAGAGTCGAGATAACGAAAGGAATATTTATTATTACAAACATTTAAATTATGTGATAATTAATGTTATAAAAAAAAAAAAAAAAAAAAAAAAAAACAAATTAAAGACGTAGAAATGGTAACTGAGTTAATTATAAATATTTTTATAATTTTTTTATTATAATATTATTTGCTCTAAATACTAAACACTAGTAGTAGTTCCGTTTAACGTCATTTGGAAAACGTTTGCTATATGTATATACTACACGTACTATAACTATATATACATAACTATATACATACATATATACATATATATATATATATATATATATATATGTAATATATGTCTAGTTACAAAACGAAGGTCAAGAAGCGTGACTCCTCGTAGGGATTCTAAGTCAATGAATGAAAACGCGAGAGATGTTGGAAGGTTGTAGGGCACGCGCCAAACGAAAGGTATCGGCGGAGAAAAGGGGGAGGAAGTACAAAGGAAGAAGACATTCGGGAAAAGAAAAGGAATGTGAGAGAGAGAGAGAAAGAGAGAGAGAGAGAGAGAGAGAGAGAGAGAGAGAGGGAGTGAGAGGGAAAGAGAGGGAGGCTGGAAGGGTAAGGAGGGAGGGAGGAAGAGAGATAGATAGAGGGAAACGTGGATCTCTTATATCGAACATAGCAACCACGTTCGTAGTCAAGGTCGGTCCTTGCCCTGCAGTTAAGGTTCGACCTCGGGATGTGTATCCCTTCGCACGATATACACAACGGATCTAGAGACTCTTTACTCCCTTTTTTATTTTCTTTTCTTTCCTTTTCTTTCCTTTTCTTTTCTTTCCTTTTCTTTTCTTTTCTTTTCTTCTTCTTCTTCTTCTTTTTTTTTCGTTTTTTTGTTTGTGTGTGTTTTTTCTTGTCCCACGAATAATATTTTTCTCCTTTGGTTTAATATTTCCAATCGATTCTCTTTAATTCACGTTGATTTGGATTTGGGTTTACGGGTTTACGGGTTACGGGTTTTACGGGTTTTACGGGTTGCGGGTTTTGTTTCGCGGCTTTAGTTTTACGTGTGAAATATTTCATTGCGTTTAAATATTTTATTATTAGCGTACACGCACGCACGCACGTACGCACGCACAAACGCACGCACGCACGCACGCTCATGGACGCTCATAAAAAATCAAAAAAGAGCACGCTAATTGATTATTATCTTGGGTAAATCGAAGGAAAATTAAGGGATTTGAAAAAAAAAAAAAAAATAAATAATGAAAAAAAAAAGAAAAAAATAAAAAAGAATAAGACGAACAAAATATTCTCTTCTTTTCTTTTACTTTTTTCTTTTCTTTTTCTTTTCTTTTTGTTTTTGTCTTTTTCTTTGTTCTTTTCGTCGGAAGGAAAAAGATAAAAGAATTATTCTTTATCGTTTAATCGAATTCAAAACGTCAGTGGTTAATAAAAGATCTAATTGGACGGGCAATAATAAGGAATAAATAAAAAAAATAATCGAATATGCATTTCTCTCTATCTCTCTCTCTCTCTCTCTCTCTCTCTCTCTCTCTCTCTCTCTCTATCTATCTTTTTTTCTATTCATTTTCTTTTTTTGTTCTTCTTGGTTTCTTCGGATCGTAAAAAGGAATAAAAATAAAAATTATTACGTTTCACGTTAGTTTCGTTTAAAGATAACGATAGAAATAACAATGAAATAAAATCAACAATTTTATAAAAAACAAATATGGAATATGAAAAATATGTAAATATTTTTATCGATAGAAAATAATGAAAAGTATATTATTTCTCAATAAATTCGATAAAAAAAAAATCAAAATTAAAGGAAAATCTACGATCGGATCTTTCGATTGTCTCGAATATTTCGAAAATTACAAAAAAAAAAAAAAACTTTCTTTTTTCTTTTTCTTTTTATATTATATATATTTTTTTTATATACATACATACATACATACATACATACATACATACATACATACATTCATACATATATATATATATAAATATATATATATATATATTAATATTTCTTTTTATTATTTTCATAATTAATGTACAAAGAAATAATGATTTGAAAAGAAATAAATAAATAAAATGAAAAGGTCATAAAGGAAAAAAGAAAGAAGGAAGCAACAAATGAAACGTCAGATTAGAAAAATTCTAACAGGAATTCAAAAGGAAATGTGATACCACTTCCGTGCTAAAAATTTTACATATACATACATACGTATTTATATATATATATATATATATATATATATATAAATATATAAATATATAAATATATGTATGTATTAGAGTCTAACCTTGTATCGTATAACGTCATATTGCAAGAAGATAACGATAACGAAAAGATAACTTTATATCTATGGATCATTTAATTGAAGGAAAGGGTGCAATCTTATAATGCAAGGTTAAAGGACGCGAGAACGTAGAGTCTTTCTATTTCTTTCTACTACAACAGTGGTAAGAGTCATTCATGGTCAGACCACTACTAATCAAAAGATCGAGAAATGTGCGTGTCTCTTCTCATAAATACACAACTATCTCTACATATGTGTGTGTGTGTGTGTGTGTGTGTATGTATATATATATATATATAGTATATATATATATATATATATATAGTATATATACGTAGATACATGCACGCATCGAGGAAGTGAATGCCAAGAACGTTTAAATGTCCCCGTGATTGTGAAAGTGATTTAATAGAAAACTATACAAATAACGCGAGTCAAGATTTTTTTTGTTGTTATTCTTTTTTTTTTTCTTTTTCGTTCCTTTTTTGTTCTCTTTCGTTTATTTTTCTCTTTTTTTTCTTTCTTTCTTTTTTTTTTTTTCTTTTTTCGCCTTTCTGCTTCTCTCCCTTCTTTGTCGTTTTTTTTCATATCTTTTCAATTGAATTAAAAATAATATTCCTTGGAAGATATGAAATATGAAATATTTATGAGTAACGTGCATATTTGCGTGCGTGCGCCCGTGTGCGCGCGCGCGTGTGTGTGTGTGTGTGTCGAACAGATGTATACACTACATATAATATTATATATGTGTATATATTTATAGTTGTTTTTTCTTTATTTTTTTTTTTTTTTTTTTTTTTTTAATTTAAGGAAGAAAAAAGAAAAAATATATATTTATACGAACTTATCTTGTTTCTTTCTTCTTCTTTTCTTGTCGTTTTCTTTATTTTAAAACAAATAAATGAGGTTATAAATATAGTGGTTTATCATAAAGCATAAATAATATTATATATATATATATATATATATATATATATATATATGTATATATATATATTTGTGGTTTATCATAACGCATTAAATATTGTTTACGATTAACGGTAGCACGTATAGCGCATATTCTCATTGATATACGAAATCCGCGAGGAAAGATAAGCTCGACGTATGTGCGTGTACATGAAAGATTATAGTATTTCGAGGTCAGCGGAATAACGTTATAAAAGGAGTCATAGAAGGAGGAGAAGGTGGAGGAGAAATAGGAGGAATGACGTGAATCGTAAAAGAATGCAAAAAATTAACTATGCCATACTAAATTCGTTAAATATACATATATATATATATATATATATATATATATATATATATATATATATATATATACATATATATATATATATTCATACATATATGTATATTATGTATATTATGTATATTATACTGATTAATGATTAATGCGTTAAAATACGTGGTAAAAAAATAATCTTTAAAAAAAAAAAAAGAAAAAAGAATTTCCTTTATTTAGATGTGAAATATTAAAAAATTTTTTAACATTAATTTATTGATATCACATTGAAAATATATCGAAATAATCATTTACACGTCTAATTTATTATCCATTATTATTTATATCGTGTTTATGCATTTATTATTATTGGCTATTATATTTATTATTATATCATTCAATGTCTAAATAAAAATTACTCCATAACATATTAATTCCATATATCTATGGTATATATATATATATATATATATATATATATATTAATATAAATGAATGTATATATTTACTAGGTATATTAGTGAGAGCTCGTTATAGGAGTGTAATAGTAGTAGTAATAATAGATCGTTATGGCCTTAGGATGACGAATCGTCATAGTTCCTTTACTGTTGGCTGATATCACTGATGACAGGTGTAACGTATTAGGGGAAAAAAGAAAAGGTGAAACAATGAATATTTGCCATTGAAACTTATACTCGTGATACCTTTGTTAAACAATCCATTTTACAGATACATACAATATTTATTTTCTTACGAAAATAATATTTCGAGGAAAATAACGTTAAGATAATTTTTATCATGACCCCTTAATACGATCCTTGATGAAATTAATTTCATATATAAATATTTACTTAACCAATTCCTATTGATTTATTAGACTTATCGTTTCAATGGATTATTGCAAATTTGTTTCTTTTTTCTTCCGTCGCCCCACCCCCCTTTTTTCTCGTTTTCTTTTTTCCTTTTTTTATTACATATTAATTCGAAATTGTGTATATATATATATATATATATATATATTTATATTTTTTTTTTTTACATTATTTTTATTTGGAAATATATATTGATATAAAAAATAATATTTTAATTAGATAAAATATTAAAGTTTATATTAGTCAAAAAGTTATGTTTAAATAAATGTTTAAATACGTACATACATACATAAATATATATATATATATATATATATATATATATATATGTATATGTATATTTATTTATTTAATTATTTATTGCAAAATAATATATGCAATATATTGAAAAGAATGTGCAAAATAAATGAATTAATATAAATCAAATAGAATATGATCACTATAAATATTCATCAAAAATTAAATTTTTCGACATATCGAACATACATTATATTTCGAATTGTTTATTAATTTACAAAACACAAAGATTGATGAAGAATAAAAAAAAAAAATCAAAAAATCAAAAATAAAGAATAAAAAATAAAAAACAGAAAGAAAGAAAAATTGAAATTCACACTACAATCCTCTTACAAATAATTTTTTCTCGTTCTTTCTTTTCTTTGTTCTTTTTTTCTTTTCTTTTCTTCTTTTTTTTATTTTTCTTTCTTCTTTTTTTTCTTTTGACATTAAAGGTAAAGTCAAGTTAATGTTTTTTTGTAACAACGATCATAAGTCATTAAAAAGAGGATTCCTTGGCACGATATCAGCCTTGGTTGCACACGCGCTCCTCGTTGTTTCTTCTAGCGCATATGTATCTGTGTATGCATATACATATATATATATATATATATATATATATATATATGTATATATATCTATACATATATATATATATCGCCATATTTCAAAGCGTGGTTCGATTTTTCCAGGGCCGTATCGGCCGATCGATCTGTCGAATCACGCCATTGCAGAATACCCGTCTAGCAAATGTCGGAGGTTACGGTTCTCAACCGTAATTTTTTATAAATCCGATTAGCATCCCAATGATATCTGATTCATTGTATTACGAACGTATGCATACATACATACTATGTATACATGCATATAAACATACACAGATACACACAAAAATATACATAGAAAGACTCATGCATATGTATATGCATGCATGCACGTATGTATGTATGTACGTACGTATGTATGTATGTATGTATGTATGTATGTATGTATGTATGTATGTATGTATGTATGTATGTATGTATGTATGTATGTATGTATGTATGTATGTATGTATGTATGTATGTATGTATGTATGTATGTATGTATGTATGTATGTATGTATGTATGTATGTATGTATGTATGTATGTATGTATATATGTATGTATGTATGTATGTACGTATGTATGCATGTATGTGTGTGTGTGTATATATGTATGCATGTATGTATGATTATTCGAGTATTCATCGGCTGACCAATAAAAAAATTAAAATAAGGAAAAAAGGAAAAAAAAAAAGAGAAATGACGATGTTAACGATTCGACAAGAATTTAACACTAACGAATTTAAAATTCTTTTTTTTTTATTGGATTATTATTATATCTCTTTCAAATATTTGCATAATTATAAACAGAACATATATACATATGCTATTTATATATATATATATATATATATATATATATATATATATATATGTATATATATATGTTTATGAGAATAGTCATTGATCGAGAGAGATCAATGCGAAGATAGGAAGAAAGGAAAAAGGAGAGAAACAAAAAAAAAAAAGAAAAAGAAAGAAAGAAAAAAGAAGACAGCGATGTTAACGAATTACTTAGAATCTAACTATTTTTATTTTTTATTGCATAACCATATTTACATAACTCGAAACATCACATATACATACACGTATCTGTTATACGTTTTTGAAAAGCGCCATTGAATGAGAGAGAGAGAGAGAGAGAGAGAGAGAGAGAGAGAGAGAGAGAGAGAGAGAGAGAGAGAGAGAGAGAGAGAGAGAGAAAGAGATCAATGCAAAGATAAAAAAAAAGAGAAGAAGAAGGGAAAGAAAAAAAAGATATAGAATAAAATGACGACGTTAAAGAATTATTGAAAATCTAATTCTAACGAAACTTTAATTTTTGATTGCGGAATTATACATATTCCTCCGACATCTGCATAATTCGGAAGAAAGACACATAAGTTAACTCATACACACGCACACACACACACATATATATACACACACGTACGTACATATTAATATTTATTGATCTGATCAATGAGAGTGTGAGAATAAAAAAAAAAAAAAAAAAAAAAGAAATAGGAAAAAGAAAAAATGAGTGGCGATCGAAAGTAATAAATTCGAATCCCAATAAATGAACTTTTATTACTATTTGTCACATAAATAAATTTCAAGATGAAATAAAAAAATGTTTGTGCATAATTCGAAAGGATAACGCATTTGCAAATTTATACGTTTAATATTTCGTGAATGATAATAATACGAATGATAATAATAAAGTATAGAAAATAATGGCAGATCGTTTAGATCTATTCTATTCTAATCTAGATTCTAGATTCTAAATTTTAGAATATCCATGCGACTAACTTTTATATTCTTTATTATATTTATTATGTAATAAAATTGCATGATTATTTAATAATGCTATAACAAGTAGATGATACATAAAGTTTTATGCGAATATTGATCAGAGATGACCGATATGATGATAAAAAAAAAAAAAAAAAAAAACAGAAGTAGAAGAAGAAAGAAAGAAAGAAAAAGTAGAACGACGACGTTGACGAATCAATGCGAAATAATCTAATTGAAATATTTAAATTGTTTATTAGATAAATTGCATTTGTGTAATTTAAAACACGCACAATAGAAATGTATGCTTTTCAAGAAAAAAAAAAAAAGAAGAAAAAAAGGGGGGTGGTGCGGGGAGAGAAAAAATCATTAATCCTGGATTTTAACGAATCAACCAGAAAGGATATAATTAAATTAATCTTTATTTTTGTTTATATTATATTATATTATATTATTTCTATTAATTCATTAATATAAATACCGATCGTCTCTATTTATAAATAAATACATTGAGGAAATTATTACGTTTGCAAATATTTCAATTGATATATTAACGTTCATTGATTAATCCTTTTTTGACATTTTCTTTTTTCTTTCGCTTCTTTTTTTCTTTTTTTGTTTCTTTTTCTTCTCTTTTCTTTTTTCTTCCTTTCTTTCTTTCTTTCTTTCTTTTCTTTTTCTTTTTCTTTTCTTTTCTTTTCTTTCGTCTCCTCGAAAGATATCGTGTCCTTTCAAAAATATTTTAGCGAAAGGTGAAATGAAACGAAAAATATTTTTTGTCCCGTTAAAAATAAACAGGATATTTTTTACAAAGGAGATCTATCGAAAAAAAAAGGAAAAAAGAAAAAAAGAAAAAAACAAACAGAATAATACTAATAAAAAAAAAAAAAAAAAGAAAAAAGAAAAAGAAATAAATAAAAAGGAAAAAGAAAGGAAAAGAAAATATTCACCGTTGTATTAATCATTGCAATATCCAACGGTTATATCACGTATTATTATTTTATATTATGAATTATTTATTGATTATCGAAAGTAACGATTTATTAAATTGTTTTAAAATATTAACGTCGATAGAGTACCAATCGCATTTGAACAGTTTTTTTTTTTTTTTATTATTATGAGATTAATTAAATTAATGTATTAATATTTATGGGTTTTTCGTTTAAGAACGTAAGAAGTATAAAAAAGAAAGCATACAAAGAAGGATAAAAAAAAGAGTAAAAAAGACAGAGAGAGAAAAGAGAAGAGAGAGAGAGAGAGAGAGAGAGGGGAGGGGAGAGAGAGAGAATGAAATAAATAAAATGAAACGTTACCAAGTGCAGCAGGTGCTTTTCTCTTGCGTTTACGTGTCCAAACCTCGAAGCAATCTTCCAATGCAAGATTCCAGTGTTTATCAAAGGCAGCCACGTATGCTTCTACGTGTCCTCTTACGCCACGTGCGTTTCTAGTGTAAACCTTAATTTGAAAACAAAATTAGACCGATCGTTTATCGATTTATCAAAAAGTTCTAAAAAAGGAGAAGATGAAGAAGAAGAAGAAGAAGATGATGAAGAAAAAGAAAAAGAAAAAGGAAACAATGGAGGAAGAAAGAAATGAAGCTCTTTCGAGGTACAAAAACAAAAACAAAAACAAAAACAAGAAAAAAAAAAGAAAAGGATAAATAAAAGAAACGAAAATAATAAAATATATGAAACCAATTGAAAAATCGTAACAACGTTTCGTTAATAATTAATCAACAGGATATAATTCAATTTATTAATTATTATAAACTATATAAGGTTATGTACATTAATACGACGATATAATATTTATTAAATGTATTTGTTAATTGTATTAAAATTATTGACATTATAAAATTATAATCAATTGATATTATACGTACGGTATATAATACATGAGATACGAATAACTTTAATTTAATTTAATAAATTTAAATAGATTATATGATAATAAATAATACATTTTCTTTTTTATAAAAAAAATTCTTCTCTTTGATAATATTATATATATAATTATAATATTATATATATAATTAAGTCCCGATAAATTATAAAACGAACGAAAAACATTTTGATAGATTTAATATTTGCAGGAAGCAAAAAAAAAAAAAAAAAGAAATGAAAAGAAAAAAATCTTCAGACGTATTGCCGCTTTATTTATATAATACATAAATACATACATACATATGTATATATATATATATATATATATATATATATATATATATATATATACGCACATACAATATTTATCTTTCTCTAAAAAATAATAAAAAAAAAAAAGAAAAAAAAAAGAGAGAGAAAGAAAAAAAGGAAGAGAGATAGAGATAGAGAGAGAGAGAGAGAGAAAAATAATACGAGTCGAGGTGAAATCGGTAGACAATTATATTCGCAGCTGCTGTTCGAAGGAAGGAACCTCGAAACGTATTCGGAATAACGAAAATACCAAGGGAAGGTTGTTTCGAGTTCTCAGTAAAAGAAGAAAAAAATAAATATAAGGAAAAAAGAGAGAAAGAGGGTGGAGGGTGGGGAGGAAAAAGAAAGAGAGAATAAAAAGAAAAGACAAGGATCGATTTAAACAACAAAAGTCATTATTATTATCACTGTTATTTGTTGACCAGATATACAATCAAGAAAAAGTGATATATATATATATATATATATAGAGAGAGAGAGAGAGAGAGAGAGAGAGATAGCATATATACAGCAAACTGATACGCGGAAGTATAGTTGTCGTGACAAGGCCCCCCTTCAATGCCTTTCGCGTTGTTATACTACGTACTACCTACGAACGCTATTATCGCAATGAAAACTAATTGCAAGAAATAGATAGAGATAGAGATAGAGATAGAGAGACAGAGAGAGAGAAAGAGAGAGAGAGACAAAGAGAGAGAGAGAGGGAGAAAGAGAGAGAAAGAAAGAAAAAAAGAAAGAAAGAGAGAGTGATAGAACATCAGATTAGTGTACCCTGATGCTACTCACGCGTGAGCGTGTGTTCGTGCGTGACTCGTCGTCGCGTGCCTTGGATCATGAATCCACGATCTCAGAAATTGAATACATATATACATACATACATACATACATACATCATACATACATACATACATCATACATACATAGATGCATACATACATATTCCTATTTCTTTATATCTATACAAACATATACGTTTATGTCTACTTCTACGTCTACGTCCACGTCTACGTGTATCTGCATATTGCATGCATTTATATGTGTATATGTCAATCTCCCTATACTTGTGTATATGTCAATCTCCCTATACTTGTCACAGTTAACGCCATTGAGGAAAAGCAAGGAAGGCGTTATTGTGTATTAGCTTGAAATCGATTCTAAGGAATCCTTAAGATTCTTTTGCGAGATCCATTCCTTCGCTCGATCCAACGAGAAAGACAAGATTCGATCGTTCCGAAGGACGACATACGCAACCAAGATAGCCTTTATCGTCTCATAGAACAAGTCAAGAGATTTTTCAAGGATCATATATATCTTCTTCGATTGTTGACGTTTTAAAAAATATAATACGGACATGGAGATCGAAGGATCTATCATTCTTTTTTTAATTGCTATAGGATAATAAAAAATCGATCGTACTTTTTCGATAATTATATTAAAGAAGCACTTCGGCTTTTCATTTAAAAAAAAAAAAAAAAAGAAAAATAAAAGAAAAAGAAAAAAATATATATATATATATATATATGTGATTTAATTTAATTCGGATCGAAAGAAGAGATGAAATGAATTTTTGTTTTCTTCTTTAATTTCGAATAAAATAAAATAGATATTAAAATAATGAAGATTTAATTCATGAGAAATTAATTCCTATAATTATCGTGTTCGATCGTTTCATTGATATTATTCAAATGTATTTAATTTTAGCATTGTCGAGATGATTGTAGGAACGTTGTTTTTTTGTTCCTTTTTTGTTTTTTCTTTTTTTTTTCTTTTTTTTCTTTCTTTTTTTTTTTGTTTTTTTTTTTATGAATTAAATGATATCAATCGGTCACAATGACGTAAGAGCCACCATTATACTTCGCAGTCGAATAATATATGAAAAACATTCTAGTAAGTCACGTGGCTTTGAGGAAAAAACAAAACGAGAGAGAAACAATTATTAAATAATATTATGGAAATGTTTTATTTTTTTCTTTTTCTTTTTTTCTACCAACGGTCATAAAGTTTTTTTTAGCTACTTCTCTTTATTTTTCTTCTTTTCATTTATATATATATATATATATATATATATATATATATATTATATATATATATATATATATATATATATATATAGACGTAAGTTGAAAGAATTATTGAAACAATGACATAATCTTTTTTTCCCCACGGTATCACAAAATGATCGTATTAAAAATATTTTCCATAAAAATAATACAAATGATCATTATTATTCATCATCATTATTCCATATATTATTTATTATTCATTTAAAAAGATCTGTATGTTTAATATTCATTAAATAGAAATAAGGGAAAAAAATAAAAAGAGAAAAAAAAAAGCAGAAAAAAAAATAATAATAATAAAAGAAGACACAAATGATCATCGTTATTTATTATTTATTTATCATTAAAGTGTTTGAGTGTCAAGTAAAAAAAAAAAAAAAAAAAAAAAAAGAAACAGTTTCTAACGCAACATTCTAATGCGACGTAATGTAAACGCATTTATAAAAAAAAAGAAAAAAAGAAAAGAAAAAAAAGAAAAAAAAAAAATATAAAAATACAAAAATACAAAAAAGAAAAAGAAAAGAAAAAGGAAGAGAAAAAATCAAGTCAGATTAACGGTATTAAATTTTAGCGACGAGTTTGAAGTTGCATAACGTTTCAATCGTTTCATGATAATATCATACGTAGTTGGGGATGAGATCACGTGAATAAGCAAAAAGAGTGAGAAAAAGAAAGAGAGAGAGAGCGAGAGCGAGAGAGATAGAGAGAGAGAGAGAGAGAGGTGTCCCTTTCAAGGAAAGAACTTTCTTCGTTGGTGAGAGACGAGTCTTTGAAGGTCAAGCGATCGTCTTTTACCGATCGTAAAGAGTTCTCTTTCCGGATGCAAATGGCTTCTCGTCGTCGTCGACGACCAACGATTAGGCTATACCTTCAAGGATAAGACCAATGATCATCTTACATGATTTTACAAAGAAAAAGAAAAGAAGCGGAAGAAGAAGAAGGAGAGAGAGATAGAGAGAGAGAAAGAAAGAGAGAGGAAGAATACATTGACCAATGAAATAACGATCCTGCATATATATATATATATATATATATATATATATATATATATATATATATCGTTCTAGTAACTAACGACGAAAGTTAACGAAGGTAATTAATCAAGCCGAGTTACGCTAGTCATTGTCGCATGTACAATGTTTTAATGGATTCTAATTATGGAACCTGTTTTTAAATCGGAAATGGGAAAGAAACGCGATACGGACGCGATCGTGAAAAGAATTGGGTCGAATAAAAAAGTGTGTGTGTGTGTGTGTGTGTGTGTGTGAGTGTGTGAGTGAGAAAGAGAGAGAGAGGGAGGAAAGCAACAACAACAACAATAACAAGAAAAAATGGCGATCCTTTTAGTCAGTTTTCTGTTTCCCTTTATGTTTATTTTTCTTTTTCTTTTCCTTCTTCGTATTTTTTCTTTTTGTTTCGTCGCTGATATCTAATTAGTCGAATAAGAAAGAGAGACAGAAAGAGAGACAGAAAGAGAGAGAGAGAGAGAATAAAGATAAAAAAAAAATATTGAACCTTTGAGTCAGTCTTTTTTATTTTTTTAATTTTGTTTTTCTTTCCTTCCTCCTTCCTTTTTATTTACTTTACGTCGAAGATATATATTTATATAAATATATAAATATATACTCAATACATATATATATATATACATATATATATATATATATATATATATATATATGTATATACATAGAGTGATTACATGAATGATAAGTATGAATGTATATATTAGATAAATATCATGTGGAATGTCTTCTTATCTCTCTCTCTCTCTCTCTCTCTCTTAATGTGTTTCGTGGTAAGAATAAACGGAGTTTGGAAAGTTAACAATCGACTTCCAGCTAGTGAGCTCGACCAACTGGACTTGGAAATCCAGAAGAACTGGATTTTAAAAGCGGAAAACGGAATCAATCATCATACCGAACCTTTACAATCATTTCTTCTTTCTTCTCTCTCTCTCTCTGTCTCTCTCTCTCTCTCTCTCTCTCTCTCTCTCTCCCTCTCTCTCACACACTTTGTTTTTCCTCTTTTACTTTTCCGTCTTTCTTCTTTTTTTTTTCCTTTCTTTCTTTTACTATTTAACCGGTAACACAACATCGGATTTCTCTAGATTTGCTTTCTTGTTAACGAAAATAGCTCATTAGAAATAAAACTAGATATTTTTAATGAGATCTCAATTAAAATCCTTCTTTGACTTTTTTTCGTTTTCTCTCTTTTCTTGTTTCGTTTCTTTTTTTCTTTCTTTCTTTCTTTCTTTCTTTCTTTCTTTCTTTTTTTCTTTCTTTCTTTTTCTTTTGTCCTTTATCATTCGAAAGATATCATCCGTGATATTAATTTGAATCGTTTTTGTTTTTTCAAAAATATATAAACGTTTCGTTCATAAAGAAAAATCAATGAAATGAAAAATATTCTTATATACGATAATAAATATATGAAATATTCTCTACGAAGATCTATTCCTACAAAAAAAAAAAAAAAAGAGAGAAAGAAAGAAAGAAAAAAATATAATATAAAATATTCTTTCGAAATAAATATTAAGTATTTAAATGTCAAATTTGAACGGTATCAATAATTTAACAACTCAAATATTCCTTTCTTTCGTTATTTTTATTCTTTTTTTTTTCTGTTTTTTTCTTTTTTTTTTTTTTTTTTAGTTCGATTCGATATACGTCTCATTTGAATATAAGTAATTAACGATGAAGCGAAATTAAATAAATAAATGAATTAATAAATTTTTTCAATAAATAAATGAATGAATGAATGAATGAATGAATTTAATTAATTATTCAATTAATTGATAAAAATAATATCAGGAATATTCCCTGAAATAAATTACTATTCAACTAATAATACAATAAAGATATAAAATAAAAGAATGAAAGTATTCGATCAAGAAAGAAAGAGACAGAGAGAGAGAAAAAGAGAAAGAGAGAGTGAGAGAGAGAGAGAGAGAGAAAGATAGAGATAGAGATGGAAAAGAAAAGAAAAGGAAAAAAAAGGGAGGAAGGTTCCCGATTATTCGTGTTCCCTATGGTAGAAGAGAGAAGATACGTTCGACCTTGTCTTTTTGCGTCTCGAACGAAAACTTAAGAGGTACAAGGGATGACGAAAGGTTCCCCTTGCCCTCCTGACTAAGTTACCATGACTACGAGTGTTGACCCCAGAAACGTTTTGCTTTCTCCTTTATATATACATATATATATATACATACATACTTACACACACACACACACACACGCACATACACACACACATATGTATATATATATATATAAAGTATAGTATAGAATCAACGGTATACACATAGCTCTTTCTAGGTAGCATTGTATATATAATATCCCTTTCCACCCCCTTGAGTGCGGTGCCCTTACGAAGGGCTGCCGCACGTGTCACTCGAGCTTACAGTTTGTCGACACGCCGCACCACGCCGCGCCATACCATACCATACCATGCCATGCCATGCCATCCCATGCCATGCTACGCCACGCCACGCCACGCCACGCCGGTCGAAAACGCGAAAGTGTGTCAGTCGCGTGTAATGTAGATACAGACATACATATATGTACATAAGTGCGAGTCCCGGCGCACAATGCCAGGGGTCAGAAGAAGAAATGGCACGCGTAGGCGAGTTCTCTTGGATTGTCGCTTTCAGGGCTGTCCACAAACTTTTTTTTTCTCTCTCTGTCTCTGTCTCTCTCTTTCACTCTCTCTTTTCTTTTTTTCTCTTTTCTTCTCTTTTCTTTTCTTTACTTTTCTTTTTCTTTCACCATTTTTTGTCCTCACTTTTTTTTTCTTTCTTGTTTTTTTTTTTTTTTTTTTTTTTTATTTATTTATTTTTTTTCACCTAAACTATCGTAAGATATATAACACGCATGATTTCTCGCTATCACATATCTCGATAGATCACGATACTATTATATATAATGTATCGTAAATATATATATATATATATATATATATATATATATAAAAGAGTATGTAATATTTTCTATCACTTTCGATTAAATTAAAACGAATAATTTTTCGTAATATGAATGTTTGATAATATGAATTATCGTCTATTTTAATCGTATCATTATTCATATCTATTTTATCTTGCTATATTTATATTTATAATATTACATTAATAATAAAGTATTATTTTGAATATTGTAATATTACTACAATATAGTATAGTACTTTATTGATATTATAAATCGAGTATAATGCTATAATACAGTATAATGATTTTAAAAATAAGTATAATATTATATTTTTATTCTGCGAATACAGTACAATACAATATAAAACTATATATATATATATATATATATATATATATATATATATATATATATATTGATCAATCAAGCAAATATAAATATCGCATATATATATATATATATATAATTTATAATACAGTATAATGATTTTAAAAATAAGTGTAATACTATATTTCTATACTGCGAATACAATGCAATAGAATACAATACTATAAAAGTAGTATAATATAATACCAATATTATATATTAATAATTAAATAAATATAAATATCACATATATATAATTTATAATACATTTATTTCGACATTTGTTACATATAAACAAGTACTATATAATGAATATTATAATGAATCGTTTATAATGATCGTATTATAACAAATAATTTTAATATTCGTTAAAATAGGAAACAAAAAAAAAACAAAATAAAAAAACAAACAAAAACAAAATAAGAAAATAATATTTGAAATAAAAATAAATTATATATGTATATATATATATATATATATATATATATATATTTTTTTTTTTTTTTTATAGAATTAACGAAACAGAGATTCATGACCTACCTTGATACGTATTCTACTTTCCATGCATTCATAGAGCATTCCTAACGGTCCAAGGATTTTCGGCATTTTCGTTAGAACATTAGATCCCTCTTTGAATTTCTTACCACGTCCTATCGTCTTTGATCTTTCTGGATCCTCATGGCCTGGAAACATATACATACATACATACATACATACATACATACATACATACATACATACATACGTAAGATTACAAGCCATTATCGACATTGAAATCAGGTTCTCTAATCTTTTCTCTTACTTATTAGATCTGAATGGTATTTTAAATGAGAAACTTACGATTTTTTATATTAGTTAAAAAGAGATAGAGAGGGACAGACAGACAGAAAGAGAGAGAGAGAGAGAGAGAGAGAGAGAGAGAGAGAGAAAGGGAGAGAAAGAAAGAGCTACTTATTGTACACCGGCGATCGCGTTGACACCTAATTACGTGACTTTAACGATACTTACACGACTATACTGATAAGATAAGTAATTACGCGATGTGTAGTCATAAATAAAACGAGTATTGCTATAAGCTATAATTTAATGTTCGTATCACATCAATTCTTCGCTTTATCCTCGTCGTTATTTGAAAAAAGAAAAAAGAAAAAAAAAAAAAAGAAAAAAAGAAATAAGAGAAAAAAAAAAAAAGAGAAAAAAGAAAAGAAAACGAAGGAAAAAAAGAAAATAAGAAAATAAGAATGGATACCAGGATACCAATTTTCTTTCATTCTTCTTCTTCTGCTTCTTTTTTCTTCATTTTTCCAATTTTTTCTTCCTTTCTTCTTTTTTTTTTCTTTTTTTCCTTTTCCATTTGTACATTTTCCCGCAAAGATCGATATTTATCTTAATGATACAAACTGAAATCTCTTTTAATAATATTAAAATATTATCATTTCAACCATATACACATTGTTTGAAATTGAAACGACGACGTCATTTTATATCTATATAAATATAAATATAAATATAAATATAAATATCTATCCATTCATTATAGATAGAGATAAATGTATAAATCCGTTAAACGTTTAATATATAATGTATACAAACTATTCTTGTTTCAAATTGATACAACGTCATTTTATATTTATATGAAAATATATATATATATATATATATATATATACATATATATATATAGATATTTATTCATTATATATCGAATAAACAAACTATGTATATCCAATTGTATTTTAAATTGAAACGACGATTTAATATCTATTTATATGAATATATATATATATATATATATATATATATATATATATATATATATATACATATGTATGAGTATTCTAAAAAGTTCACTTATAATTCTAATACATAAATCGGATTCTTTGGTCGAGCAACGATCTTATCGAAGCATCGATTTCTTCCGATCGCATGTTCTACTCCATTCTTCCCGTTTTTATCATAAAATTACGCCATCGCGACGTCGATATTATCGACCACCAGTCTACCGGAACAATTTGCGTCCATTCTTTTTTTCTTTTTCTTTTATTTTTTTTTCCTCTTTTTTTTTCTTTTTTTTTTTTTTTTTTTTTTTTGTTGATACGAATTTTTTTTCTATTTACAGTGTTTAATAAGAAATCAATACGATCTTCCCGCCATAATTCTCATTGGTTACAATTTCTTTGGCGGGTAAATTCAAATTGGAAAAAATCAAAAATGTCTACTTCAAATATATATATATATATTTTTCTTTTTAACAAAAGAAAAAAAAAAGAAAATGTGTGTAAATAATATCGTTGTTATTATTGTTGTTGTTATTTCTTATTTCTTTTTTTATTTTGGATCATGAGAGGGATTAAAATAAACGACATGTCGGGGCGATTGATCGACGATGCTAATTTAGCGGGAAAATTTGAATCCGCGAACGTTTCCTCTTTTTTTTTTTTTTGATAATGAAGAGGGTGGAGAGAGGAGGAGATTAGGGAAGATAAGGAGGAAAAATATATAGATATATAGACGGTATCGTTAATTTCATTGTTAAATCGATCACGATTTATTTAGAAAGTTTGTATTCTTTATTTTTGAGTTAATCGATAGATCGAATTGTCTGACAATTTAGAATCGATCGATGATCGATGATCAATTGAGAAAATCATAGATCAGTCGAGTAGAAATGTATCGGATTAATTTCTTTTTTCTTTCTTTTTTTTTTTTTTTTTTCTTTTCTTTACGGTAGATCCAATATGAAAGACAGCTAAATGATAATTTTATGGAATTCTTGCCAGACGACTATTGATTGATTGATGATACTTTTTACTGACGAATTTGGAACGAAGAATGTTCCTTTTTTTCATACTTTCGCTATTGCAAATGAAACTAAATAGATTTAAACTGGATAAGTTTTTTTAAGTTAACAAAATATTTACGATAATATTTATCCTCGAATTAATCATAAGATTAATGTCTATATATATATATATATATATATATTGTATGATAAGAATTCAATATGATATTTCTTTCATGATTCTAATTGATCAGAGCTCTCTTTAACGAAAAAGTTCTAATTCAAAATTTTCACTCTTTTTCGTTTTCTCTCTTTTTAATTTTCCATATACAAAAAAGAAAAAGAAAATGTTAAACCAAGAATGAATATTATTGCGGTACTCCTTAAAAGAAAAAAAAGAAAAAAAAAAAACAAAAAAGAAAAAAAAACACAAATATTATATTGAAAATCCAATGTTTTGATAAATAAGTGAATAAATCAATAAAAGAAGAAGAAAAAGATGGAATAAAAAGAAATTCCAAAAAATATCCTTTGGCATTCTCCGTCAATCGACCACAGAAGAAAAAAAAAAAAATAAAAAAAGAAAGAAAAAAATAGGAAATAAAAGGAAACAAACGAGAAAAAGATTCATATCGTTTGGAGACGCCGAAAGAGAACAATAAATAAATAAATTAAAAGAAAAAAAAAAGAAAAAAAAAGAGAGAGGAAAAAAAAGAAAACAAACAAAAAAAAAACAAATAGAATGAAACGATATTGTCGAAAACAATATCGTCGATCGCGGAAATATCGATGTGACTAACAATATAAGTGCGGCCCTGCGGTCGTGGCGCGGAAAGAGGAACGCTGCAAAGTTACGTAAAGGCTCTCGGCGAGCTGCTCTACGCTTGCACATCGCACACGAGTGCACTTATTTTCTCTCCCTCTCCCTCACCCTTTCCCTCCGTATCTCTCAACAACCTCTCTACTACCCTCTCTCCCTCTCTCTCTCTCTCTCTCTCTTCCTTTCTCCGCCACCTTCTCTTTTTCTTCTTGTACTCCCCACTCCTCGAATCTCTCTCTCTCTCTCTCTCTTTCTCTTTCTAACGTGTCGGTGCGACAAACGCGTCCGATCTCAGCGTTATTTACGTGTAAGTGCGAGCAAGAGGTCCGATTCCAATTGGCTTTCTCCAATAACTTTCATCCACCTTAAGGAACGTAAAAGAATATATATATATATATATATATATATATATATATGGAGAAAGAGAGAGAGAGAGAGAATAACATTTAACATCTCTCTCTCTCTCTCTCTCTCTCTCTCTCTCTCTCTCTCTCTCTCTCTCTCTATCTTTGATTTTGCTAGCTAAGTGATCAACTACACTTTTCCACCTTTCTTTGTTTCTTTCCGCATTTCTTGTGCGCGCGAGCACACGTTACTTTCACTATCCTGCCGATCCGATTTCCACGGAAAATCAAGAAAAAGAGTGAGGGAAAGAGACGGAAAGACAGAGATAGAGATAGAGATAGAGACAGAGACAGACAAAAAGAGAGGGAGGGAGAGAGGGAGAGAGAGAGAGAGAGAAAGAGAGGGAGGGAGGTAGAAGGAGGGGAGGAGGTAAGAAGGAAAGGAATATCAATGTTTTATTTTTTGGGAGGATTGTATGTATCCTTCACACACATACACACACATATATACGCACACACGTAGGATATACGCAACGTGTACACACGGAATAAGATTTATTTAGGATATTGCGAATGTTTCCGTAAATTGGAATGCGTAATAAAGGATTTGCAAAAGGTATAATAATATATACGGTGTTCGTTTTATAAAGACGAATAAAAGTTTCTAAATCGGATCAAAAATTTTCTAAATCGGATCAAAAATTTTCTAAATCGGATCAAAAATTTTCTTCGAATTTCCTTCAATGTCACCGAGTTTTAAATCTTTATTAGCTTCTTGTTTTTATCAATAAATCTTATGTTGTTTTACAATCTGAAAGAGGGGGTGGGGCGGGGAGGTGGGGCGGGGAGCGGGGTAAAAAAGAAGAAGAAAAGAAAAAAACGAAGGAAGAAAGGAATTTGTTTTAAAGAAAAAAAGAAGAAAAATAAATAAATAAATAAATAAATAAAGATAATGAAAAGCGAGACAAATAATAATCGACATTATCGATATTTAAAAGTCATCTGATATCTTTCGAAACCATCTAGAAACTTTTTTGTACATCCTGTGTAGTATATATGCAAGAAAGAGAGAAAGAGAATTTTATTGATAGATTTAAAAGTCAATGTCTGAAATTATTTCCTATAGTTTTTTCACTTTTTTTTTTTATTTTATTTCATTTCATTTCTCTTCTTTTTCTTTTTTTTTTTTTTCCTTTTTTTTTTCTTTCTTTCTTTCCGCCCCCCCCACCCACGGTCAAAATAATCACGTATGCAGATTATAAAAGAATATTCTTTGACAGATATATTAAAAAGATTTTAAAAATACTTCAGATCGACGCAAATGAAGGACTTTGCAATATTTATAATTCATTGAAGATTTTTCTTCTTCTTCTTTTTTTTTTCTTTCTTTCTTTCTTTATATAGACAGATAATAAAAAATGTGTCATTTTTATAATCTATAGAATAATGAAGGATCAGTAAAGATAGAAACGTAAGACAGATATGAGACATAAAGATTGAATAAAAATTATTTTTCTCCTTTTTCGTCTTATTCTTCTTCTTTCTTTTGATGAGAACAAATATTTTTTATTTATAATATATAAAATAAAAACATTTTATTCATACTCTAAAAAAGTCCTATACGATGAAATAATATTAAATGATAAAATAAAATTAAATTACATTACAAATTAATTAACATATATTTTCGAGAGAATAATTAAATTAAAACGAAGTTATATATATATATATATATAT